CTGCTGCCTTTGAGACCTGAACTCTGTCCTTGTGAAAGGGTTACAGCAACAGTTGAGTAAGGCTTGCTGAGCTTTTTTTTCTCTCTCTTCTGGGAACTTCATATGCTTATTTGTCTGTTTTGAAGGTCATCTTTAATGTCTCTGTACATTATCCTTGAAAAAAAATATTTTCCCAATAAATTCAGTGTGTAATCTACACTTTTACATGGGGTCCCATTGGTTTGAAAAGATGTTTAGTGCTGTTTTTAAGGAGGAAAATACCCAACAAAACTGGAAAGCTAACTTTTTGGGTTTGGTTGATCATTCATAGAAAATACCTTTTCTTGATCATTGGCTTTATGTGAATCTCTTAGGGAATGTCATCAGGCAGTCCGTTTAGATCTGCTTGATCTAAATAGGCAGCAATTAGACAATTCCACTGTTACTGTATCCACAATAGGCCCCAGGGATTCATGGGTAAAGGCGTGAATCTCTAGACAGCATAAAAGTTGGAATTTCCAACTGAATCTCAGGTGGAGTGTGAAGGATTTTTCTTTGTGATTGATATGCCATAAAAAAATACCTCAACACCTTAAAACTCCGAACTCATGGTTAGCAGGAAATGGAAATTTATCAAATTCATTTTCAAGGCAAAACACCACAAGCTTTTTTATGTGCATGTTCAAAACTTCAGATTCAAACTATTTTCTGCTCTAATGTTTCTTTAAATAAAAAGTTTCAAAATTACCCGTATTGCACTTCAGAAAATATGACTTCTCTAGTGGGCTTTATACTTGTTAGATTGAGAAAATTCCTTTCAGTATTGGTATTGCTACCCAAATATGTTGTAAAGAAGATATCAAACAGAAATCTGTCAGAACCACAGAATGGTTTGGGTTGGAAAGGACAATAAAGATTATGTGGTTCCCACCCCCTCACAGTGGACAGGGATGCCACCCACTTGATCAGGTGGGCCCAGCCAGCCTGACCTTGAACACTTCCAGGTATGAGATACCCACAGCTTCTCTGGGCAACCTGTACCAATGCCCCACCACCCTTTCAGTGAAGAATTTCTTCCTGACATCTAATATTTTTGTTTAAAAATGTTCCCCATTGGCCTGTCACTCTCTGCCCAGTAAGTCCCTGTGGTTTTTGGTTTTTTGTTTGTGGGTTGTTTTATTTTTTTCCCCCTAAGTCTACTTCAAGTACTGAAAGGCTGCAGTGTGAGGTCTCCCCAGAGCCTAACAAGAGGATTTCAGAGTAACTTAAACACAGTCATCTCTTCCCTTTTCATAATTTATTTCAGTCTTCCCAGCTGACCTTCTAGTTAGCTCACTGCTCTCAGCAACAAAGGATATTGTGTTGTTCATTTAGGATTTGCTGATTCAGCCTTGTGAAATTCAACTTGAGAATTCAGAAAAAAGGAAAAAGGCTTGAATGAAAAAAAGTTTTAATTTTAATTTTCTCTGCTATGAATTAATTTTCCCAAGTTGGCCAAAACCCATTTTCTCTAAAGAACCAGTCCTTATTACTGAGTTTCATAATTTTTTTGATCGAATCACTTCCCTTTGCTCTAGTGAAAGATACTTCACAATCTAGTTTTATACACTTGCAGTTTTTCCCATTGGAATATGGCACACAAGCATTAATTTGAATCAACAGATAAGACAATATCTCTAGAATCATTAATAATAGATATACTTAAAAGCATTTTTCCTGAGGCGTAAAACAAATACACGAAGGAAACAAAAGTGACATTGACATAAATAATTGTATCTTACAATAGTAACCTAAGGCACAACCTAAACTCTCACAGAAACAGCTAGAATTCTACCTCTTTTCTCAAAGAAGCTGCAGACTTAGCCCATCTATTGTCCATGAAATGTAATCTGCTATAAAGCATTAATCACCCATATTCCGGGAAATGCTTGGTTATATTCCCATCCAGATCTCTCCACAATTAATGTATGATGACAACTCTTTTTATTTTTTTCTTGTACTGTTTTATCGCTTTTCTTACAAAGGTTGAGGATTACTTTCCTCCTTTAAACACAAGCCAAATTCAGTTCAAATGTACTCAGAAAAACATTACAAAACTGATGCTTTAGGATTCTATGTTTGTTATTGCTCAGTGGCTTCCATGTGAAATCTACACAGGCTAAATATCAAAGGATGTTGTGTCTTTCTCCTACCTGCTCTTTGAAAGTCATCCTGATATCCACTAATTAAGCTTTCCTGAGTCCATTATCTACACTGTCATCATCAGTAGTGATGTTCAATCTGTCAAAGCTTGTTTTTGTTTTAGATAAAGAGATGGAAGAAAGATCAGATACAACATGTTCATCTGTCCTCTTAAAATTTTATTAAGGGAAATACCAAAAACCACTATTGCTATGGTCATATACAGAATCACAGAATATTCTGAGTTGGAAGAGACCCAAAAGGATCGTTGAGTCCAACTCTGAAGTGAATGGCCCACGCAGGGATCAAATCCACAACCTTGGTGTTATTTGCAGTGTGCTCTAACCAGCTGAGGCAATCTGTAGAACTGCCTAAAGTGCAAATTTTGCAGCTTTTTCTGAAGTATGTAGTTCTTGATATTGCTGAAGAGAGAATAGATGGAGTTCTATTTTGTCAGCCTTTCCATTGTTTCTGAGCTAACCACAAAGCCTTCAGCTTGCAAAAAGAACCTGGAAAGGACTTACACTTTTAAAAGATCAATTGATATACCCAGGCAAATAAACATATACAGCAGCCAAGATCAAAGAAGAATGGTTGAAAACATTCATGGTAGAATTGTTGGGGAATTCTGTTTTGTTTAAGTAGTGCTTTCCATCTCTTTTATTCTCTCATATGCACTGTCCCCACAGTGTGATTGTAGCAAAGCATCAGGCAGTGAGCTGAATCAGGAACTGATGCAAGATTTAAAAAATAAAAAACAACCTACTGAAAAGGACAGTAAATATTGAGAAAAAAATGAAAGGCAGAACATTGGCTGCTTAAGCAAGCAAAACTGCTAGAAGAGGTGATCATTAAAACAGAATATGACTGATTGACAGTTTATTAGGGGTTTCCGAAGTCGTGAGTTTTTGCATAAATACCTATTTCTCTTTTTAAACTCTCACTGTAACTGAGCAAATCACTTTTGAGCTCCTCATTTGCCTAGTTATTAATTTCATTACTAATTTCTTTTAGATTAATAAATTCTTTAATGCTGCACCGTATTCTTAGTGGAAGTTTTAGAGTGACAGACAGGTTTTGTATATTGTGTTAATGAATTTAATGATTGAACTATTTAAATGGATCTTGTCAAAATGCTATGGGCAACAAGGGGTAAAAAAAAAAAATAGGAGAGACTTTTAATGTCAACATGATCTTTTAAGGTTGAAATCTAATAATTGCTTTGATTGAATATTAAGACTGCAGTGTCCTTGCTCTAACAAATATCTGCTGGCTTATTACTGCTTCACTAAGGAGAGAGTGTGTTATTGAAAATTCAATTAAAACAAAACAAAATCAAGATTTTTGTCCTTTAAATTACATTGCATAAAAAGAAAGTGTGGAGGGAGAAGTACTGAGAAATAATGTAAGAGCATGAAGGAAAACCACTCAACATAAAAGAGATCAGAAAAGAAGTGGTAGAAGAGACCATGGGAGAATGAGGGTATAAGGAGCACTAAAATATCTGTAAAGGAATCTTTTGCAATTAAAGTGGGTATAGTATTTGCATATACAAATGACAATTGTTAAAAATTGTGTAGATACAGAGATCAGAAGATACAAATGTAGATACAAATGCATCAGAACTCTTTCTGTTTCTCCCAAATGGATTCAACAATCTGTCTTGACATTTCACAGCAGAGATGGCCAACCTAATGATGCTACAGAGAGTTAGAAAATTAATTTTTTGATAGACTACCCACTTTCTGTGTAGGCTGATGCTTATGTTCATTCATGACACTGAAGAATTAGGTGTGGGTCTTCAGAAGGTATCACTGAATAAAGAACAATTTTTCTTGCAAGGTGTGTTGTGGAAAGATCAGTACAAGTCCTTTTGGAAGAACTTTGTTAATGATAGGTCTTCCAAAATCTCTGTAAATTCTATTTCTTACATAATATTTTGCTTTTCTGTTCTGTATTGTGAAAATGCTGAACAAGGTGAAAATGCTGAAAGACATCCTTATTTATCATGTATAAACCTTTCACAAGATCCTTATTTACCCTGCTATTTTCTAAGACACACATTCTGGAAAGACTGTCTAAGAATCACCTCTGGTGAGGACAGAAAAGGAAGAGAAGCTTCTGAATATGTGAGACCCTAAAATTATCTCATTTTGGACTAAATGGCTGGCAGTTCTTCTGTTTTATCATGAATGGTCACAACAGTCGTGAGATCTTCCACAGGCTTTCTCTCAAGTCTATCTAAGATCAACAGTTGAATGCCTTTTTTGGAAAGAATGGAAAACTCATACTGAGTCTACATCTAAAACCAGATTTAAACTAAAAATTACATTACAGAGAAGAAATAGTATCACTCTTCATCAGTAGCATCATCTTTCCTGTCCCTGATTATAAAAATATTTTAGAGTAGCTTGTTCATGCACTCCCTGTGATCATCAAGTTTGACCCTAAATTGCAACATGAAGAGTGTGTTTCAGCACTATCTCTGCAAATGCCTCTTAAGTTTTGAATATTCTTAGTGCTTGATTTAGTAATGCTCCCTCTGGAGATTTTTTACTTTGTGCCAATGAACCTGACTTATTTAGAGCTGTTGGCTCTGGTCCACTATTTCTTTGTTAAATGTTTAGCACTTGTAAGTGTTGTGACCCTTTTGGCAATGCAAGTAATCCTAATTCCAGCAATTTACACTTGTCACTTTGCTTTAAACTCCATTACTGCACACTGAAATTCTCCACAAAATGGTTTGGAAGTCATTTAACAAATAACAAATTGGAGATAGAGGGATTTTGTCCATTATGTCACAATTAATTATTTATCACAATTTTGGTTTTGTGTTACAGAACTGTGACCTGGCCCAGCAGAGCATTGTTCATATTGTTCAGAGTCCACAGAACAGTCAGAACAAGGAGAAGACAGAGCATAGCTGTGTTGGAGGTGTTCTAAAAGCCTTGAAAAGAGAACCTGAGAGTTTAACTCGCATAGATCTCAGTACCAGCATCCTCCCATCAGTCTCTGCAGGGTTGGCAGTTATTCTGGATCCTGGAAAAAACAGTGTTTCACTTCCTGCTGAAAAATCAGGTAATTTGGTGACTTAATACATTTCAATATACATTTTTAATGTGTTTTTTTCTTTCTTAGGGTGAACAGTTCTAGTTCCATACCACAGGGGAAAAGCCCCCCAAATATATGGTTTATTCTATTTATTAAACAAAAAATACAACAATATTAAGATGATAAGCATCTGATGTGTCTTCTTGAAAAATAATTTTGCTTTGTGGATAAAATTAGTGATTTCTTGTGTTGCTCCTGTATCTAACTTGTATTATGCTCATATTTTTATAAATTATTATAAGATTGCAAAACCTCTAGAGGTCTATGAGAAAGCAAAATATAGTCTCTGTAAAATTTCCATCATAGAAGTTTCCTTAACTAGAATGTTGGGCAGCTTATGCCTTCCAAATGTGCTTAATTCCCAGTCTGTTGGGATGCTTTCATACCCATACATTTTATAAAAGATATTTACAATCTATTTAAGATTTACTAAAGCTCTGCTGGCGCACCACATGATGGTGATGATTCATACTATGGACATTTGTAGTTCTTCATCCACCAAATGGTTACTGAGAATATCTTCATTGTGAAAAATAATCTGAGGCACAGGCTACTGCAAAACTATCTTACTGACACATTTGCCCCAGTGAAGACACATCATTCTGTGCAATACCTGATACTATTGTGATTTATCATAATAGTCCATCAGAGATGTCTTTTTATAAAGAACAGTACACAAATAGCCTTTTTGTGCAGTACACAAGGTAATAGCAAACATATATATCCAGAGTACAGAAGATAAATTGTGACAGAGATACCTCTGTGACTAACCTGGCCACAGAAATCATCTTGCTTAACAAAATGGCTACTAAAACCATTAAAATAACTTCTAAAGAATTTATTAAGTAGCTCATGCAGAAAATATACAATCCATGGGAGGGTCACAGAAGTATTCCACAACTGACTTGGTCAACCTCTCACTGACAACTAATGATGAATGAGTGTGGTTTAGGAGCAAATTAGTACCCAGCTTAATGATCCACATCTCCCAATCTGAATGAGTAATGAGATAAGAGCGGTGCATGCTGATTTAAATATGGTAAACTAGGGACAGGTCTTCAGCCTGGGTTTATTCTCAGATGAAAGGCAAAAGTGTGAGCTTTTAAACATTACCACATATTTATTTTTTCATTACTGTACACATGTAGAGGGATTTAATAGCTGCGCTTGACTTTACAGAATAGTCTGTACATGTGCAAGGACTCCTAAGATGTGTCATGTGACATTTTTATCCACAGACTATAAACTCTGTGAAGCTAAGCATTAACTGATAGGTGTCTTCTATTGCAGTGAATATTTTCGTGGCAGAATGCATGAGGACAAAATGTATTGATAAAATATGTGGACTAGTTTTATCTGTGATTAAATTAAAAAGACTTTTTATCATAAGAGAAAAAAAAGACCCGCTTTAATGATTGATAGTTCTTTGTGGAAGGATATTAATAATAAGTTCTTTTTAAAGGCCTGTTAACTTTTTTCCTTGTTTTGATTCTCACTATTAAAATTTGTCTTGTCTGTTCAGCTCTATCCCTTTGTTCAATATGGGGAACTATATTTTTCCTTATGGATTTAGGGTGAGTTAATTGTAGTCACTTTAAAATAAAAAAAAAGAAAGATTGTTCCAAAGATCAGTTTTGCAGTTATCTTTACTGTGTAGCAAGGATTTCCTTTGGCATAAATGAAATGACTAATAGTAGTGGGAATGAGTGGCTTAAGAAAATAGGTACCATCATTGATAGCTGAAATTATACTTACCAAGTTGGTGTCCTAGGAGATGAATGGTTGTGGACATTAGTCTACAGCAGCAACCTGGACAGGTGAATGAAGTATAATCTTTATTGTTCCATGCATACATGACAAATTTAAACATAAAATTTAGAGGCAAATGTTTAATTAATTGATTAAATTAATATTGTTTAGTCTGACGTGCTACACAGCTATTTCATAATTGCAACAGTAAACACTAAGACTGTAAGTCTTTCTGAAGCCTAAGTTATTTTTATTTGTTATGCTGACCCCATGTTCCTGCCCTTATTTTATTTGCCCTCCTTTGAATTCTGAGGAAAAAAGTTTGTGGTAATTTTCACATCACAAGAGCGTCTCCCAGAATCTTTAGCAGCATTTGACTGCTAAAATAGTATTTTTGAAGTATTTACGTCAATGCCTAGAGACCAAAATTCCACCAGACAAACCAGGAGAGGCAACTCTTGTCATGCTGTACTGCTATTATATAAGCAATATACTTAGGTAGTATGAACTGCTGCACTTGATGAGACAAAAACCCTTATGGCCTGGCAGTGTATCTCCACCAAAGATATAATTTGCTCCTTGCAGAAGCATGTAACAGGATATCCTCCTCCCTGCTCACCCTTACTATTGTGTGAGTAATGAAACCAGCTCCTGACTGGTCTGGAGATGCACCTTATTGGCACTGTGTTTTTTAGACTACAGTATGTTTCTCTATGAGAAATTCAGAAGTTTGAAAGTCATTAACAAGTTGAAAAAAAAATATGAAAATGGATCCAAATAATCTCTTCATGAAAGAATTCCATGTTTCCTGTCTTTGCAGACAAAAGCAATAGAAATGCCTTTTCTTCTCGGTTTTTGTTGTTGTTTTTCTTGGGGTTTTTTGTTTGTTTTGTTGTTGTTTCTTTGTTCTGAAAACATCACGTAGTTTCTAGTGGACATGTAAAAAAATATCAGCGTAAGACTTTCATTCTACTTCACCCCCTTTTAATTTGCCTCTCTCCAATATCTGGGACAAAGAGCTTTAATAAACACAATGTAAGTAAATGAACCTATGTTCCATAATGGTTGCATGTCAGTAGGTACATGTATAAGATGAAGAGATAATGGTTGGTCTTGATGACCTCAGAAGCCTTTTCTAATCTTAACAATTCTAACGATTCTCTGATTTCTACCTGAAAAATAATGAATCTGTAAAACATAAAGGTTTGTATGGCTCATCTGCTAAATATGAGAATGCATCATGATTTCAGATTCAAGAAAGCCAATAGAATATTTGGAAGTAGAAACAGAAAACAGAGTGGAGTGAAGAAAATGTTTTTTTCTCTGCTTTTGACACTTGCATAACTAAAACCAGTATAACTTACTGTTTTGATGACTAAACTGTTAGAAGGTTCAGGAGCTGAGTCATGAGAATTCTACAAAAATGCACATCATGATTGGTTTATATTTGTTTTGGCATCTGTGGAGTGGAAGTTTGGTAATCTGGGAATATTAGATTTTACCAGCTGTTTTAGGATTTTAGTTCTCATTGTCTAGAAAGTGCAAGCCAGAAAATGCGAATACCACACATGGATTTTAACTTGCCAGGAAATCAACCATCAATGCAAGTTATCCTAGCTTACAAGAATTCTCCACATTTGTCCATTTAAAAAAATGTAGAACATTTTTTTTGAAACATGAAGTTAGGACTTCAACCTAGAATTGGTATGGGTGGTGCTAGGCAGGAAATGAGACTGCAGAATCCCATTCCCTCCCCTTTGTAAATGTATGACTGATGTCAAGCAAATTTGTAATATGAAAAAAATAGTTCAATGGAATATGTTTTCTGTAAGCTGACATGAATGTTGTTACTTATGTAATTTCCAGGTTAATCCATTATCAGCTGGTTTATTATTTTGTCTGACTCAAGTAGATGTGGTCATCATTACTTAGGGTTTTTAATTTTCAATTTTAAAATAAATGCTCATCTGCTCAGTTCCAAATAAAAATCCTGGTATCCTTTAGGCAGGCTTTTGCAAATGCTTCCATTCAAGGCACCTCTGATTCCTTATCTTTGCATCTTCTTCTGTTCACAGAAGAGTTAATAAAGTACTGGTATATACTGACTTAGGTGTGTCAAGCTGTAAATTCTAGCAAAAAGAGGGACTGACTATTTTCCATCTAGTTAGGAAATGCTTTACCAAAACCTAATATATGTTTAAACTTCCTGTCTTTCCCAATACTACAAGTATCGGTTAAGGCAGATGAAACAGTCATTACCAAAACCTCAGTATTGTTAGTGATGCGTGAAGTGATGAACTGGTGCCCATTCCATGTAAGAGTCTGATTCCATGAAAGAGACAGTAAAAACACTTAGAAGGGAAAGCCACAATTTAGGACTAGTCAGATCTGTTCATACTTCTGAGGCAAGCCTTGGTGAATAAAAAACCCGTATCAATTTAACCATTTAAATTGCTAACATTTAAAACTAGTTTTTGAATAGTATTCTGATGACTATGTGTTAAAAATTCCTGTGCCCTGTAATTGATATTACACTTTATTATAATTCTTTCACTCAAAAAGCCTAAAAGGATAAGAATTTTTGTGTAAAATCTGTTTGAAGTAAATGAGTAGTCTAAACTCCTGAAGTACTGTACAATTACTTCACAGTTTTTTAGACCTTATAATCTAAAATTAGATCTAAGTTGGACAGGGTTATGGTGTACATCTACCTCCCCATTTGCATGTGGTGCTAGGCTGAGTACTACTGCCCAGTACTGAGCTGAGAACACCTGCAGCTCTTTCTTATCCCTTTTCGAGAATTTCAACAAAATGTGAGCACTCATCCTTTCAGAATGGCTTCCAGCCTGGAAAGAACATTTTTATTGTGGTGCATAAACATGAAGCTCTGACCTAATATTGCTTTTCTGTGTTACGAATACGAATATCTAAGAATTTACTATTCCCTTAAAAGAGATAAAAAAGGATTCCGAAAATTTCTTGTGTCATTTAACTGCATTTTTTTTCAAAGGAAACTAATCAGTATAAAGATTTTTTTTCCTTTGTCACGGGTGCAAATAATTTGTGGCTTAATTATAATATTAATTAATTAATTAAATATAACTTAGGTCCATGGTATTGTAAATCAGCAGTTTGAACAGGGAAAATCAGTATTCTGAGCAATTTACATTTAGTAATTAGGCCTTTTTTCCTAGAGTTATCAACATTTTGTTTTAAAA